TAGGCTGGAGGAGCACTGTGAATGTGGAGGAGAGCACTGCAGGACTAGGTTGGAGGAGCACTGTGAATGTGGAGGAGAGCACTGCAGGACTAGGCTGAGGAGCACTGTGAATGTGGAGATCACTGCAGGAGGACTAGGCTGGAGGAGCACTGTGAATGTGGAGAGCACTGCAGGACTTGGGTTGGAGGAGCACTGTGAATGTGGAGGAGATCACTGCAGGACTAGGGTTGGAGGATATAAAGGATGGTGAACACAGCAGGAAGTGCCCTTCGGTGGCAATGGGAGGACAAACAGAGCTGTACTTTGGAAAGCCAATACCACTAGAACAGACTTCATAACACATCTTTCAGGCCTGCTTCCTCAAATCCTGGATCCCACATTTTTGGGCTCTGCTTCAGTCATTCCTACTGACCTGGGAACAAGAGCATGGTCTTTTGCCTCTTTACATTCCAGGGCTCTTTCCTTTGCTCCAGACAGGTAACCAGGTATGGCTTAGACACAGCAAGACCTGGTTATTGGAAAACAGAACATGACACTTATTTGATTTTCTTCATAACTACTAACATATCTGGCCTAGAATTAGGTTCAGTGTGAAAAAGATACATAAAAGATATATAATAATACTCTATAACATCATTTTCCAAATGTTATTTTCTTACAGATATACAGTAACATATTTATAATTTAAAGATTCTTAGGTCCACTTTTGTCTACTACCCAATCACAGGTAAAGGGAGAATAATTGGACTTGAAGATGTAAATTGTAACAGTTTATGCCACTTGGCTGTTATAATTACCACTAATTTTAATTTGGGATATATATTACCTGAAGAGAGATGGAAAGGATAAAGATTTTAAAATATGAATATTATCTATTTCAATTTCTTCACCTCCCCTCATTTCTCTCCTGAAATCATAGGCTCCCAAGATATACTCAGCAATGCAGGGAAACTAGATGCAATGCTGAATTCAAAACTCTGCAGAGTGAGCCTCACCCAAGAAGACCAGGTTCCGATAGTTTTCCAGCATCACGTCCTTATACAGAGTCTGCTGTTCGGAGTTCAGGCATTCCCATTCCTCTCCAGAAAAATCGATGGCCACATCCTTGAAGGTCAAAGGTTCCTGGAATAAAAACAGGCAGCACAATGACCATGTGGCCATTGGCCCCATTCTTGAATTTAACCCAGGATAAAGGAGTTAGGGAGAACTACCCTTCACACAGGGGAGTGCTCTTAACGGAGGCATTTCAACCTAGTGGCATTTCTATTGTATCACCTAACTCTCGAGCAAAGATGATATAAAGTCCACAGAAGCAGGGTAGATACTATGCTTTTATGAAAAATTAAATGTAATGGCATCAACATAAGTATTTACATTTTAAAGTTCTTTTAATACAAGATCATGTATGTCTATTTTCAGGTGAAAAGGACATGCTTATGACTTTTTGAAACACTGCTACCTCTTTTGGGGGCGGGGGTGGTAGCTCAGACCTAGGACTTTACACAAGCTAGGAAACTGATCTATAACTAAGCTACATCCCAGCCAAGTATACACCTACACATCCTTGAAAAACTGAAACAAAAATTAAACAACATTACCTTTGCAAAGTATGATACTATGTTATAATATTTTAATTGAATTCTATAAGTAAATTAATCATAATTGATTTTGCCTCCAATATAAAAAATATTGATGGCCAGCAAGAAGGCTCAAGCAGGTAAAGGTGCCTGCTACCAATCCTACCAATTTGAGTTCAATACCAGGGACAGACACTGTAGAAAGGACTGACTCCTACAAGATATCCTCTGACCATCACATGTGTGTTGTGGTACATACATGCTCCACATACATACACAGGTAATTACATGTAATACAAACCTTTGAGTAAAGGTGCTGAGTTAGAAAAGCAATGCAATGGTTAGGCACTGCCTCTTCCACTTTTACTTGCTACAATACTTTACAAACTCACTAACAGGCCTGCCTTCTCTCAAGCACTTTGGAACGGGCAATGTGACAATTCCCTGAGACACGTTCCCATTACGATAGCTCGTGCTCAAATCTCCATACAGATCCCTAGAGTCTAAGGCAGAGTCTAACCCTGCAGGCCTGGGGATTGTTTCTACTCCTTACCACAAACCTGCCTTTCATCTGCTTAAAAACTGCGCTCTGAAGCCAGCGGCTCTGTAACCTACATTCTTGTGGCTCCTTTTTTATGTTAACAGTATATTAGAATGTGTTGAAGACATCTCTTCTCAGCTCTGAGTTGGTGTCTTTATTCCACCTTTTGGATAATATTTACTCATGAAAAGGTGACCATTACAACTGAGGGAAGATTCCCAAGGTGTAAATTTAGCTCAATATCCGTGATCAAGTCTACAGCGTTTTTAAAAATCAGTAATTATTAACATTCTGCAGCAAACTTGGGTGTTGAAATATCCTTCTTTCTTTTTTTTAATATTTATTTATTATGTATACAATATTCTGTCTGCGTGTTTGCCTGAAGGCCAGAAGAGGGCACCAGGCCTCATTACAGATGGTTGTGAGCCACCATGTGGTTGCCGGGAATTGAACTCAGGACCTTTAAGAAGACCAGGCAATGCTCATAACCACTGAGCCATCTCTCCAGCCCGAATATCCTTATTTCTAAACTTAAAATAAATACACGATTTACAACATTGTAAAGATAGCGCAAAATGTGTAAATACTGTCAGGTCCAAAGCTTTCCTTCCCCCAAAGTGGCAGTGCTGGTGACGCGTCCTAAACAGGACTTTGGCCAGGTAGACAGAAGGACTGTTAGTGGACAGACAGAAGGACTGTTAGTGGTGGGCAGACAGAAGGACTGTTAGTGGACAGGCAGAAGGACTGTTAGTGGTGGACAGACAGAAGGACTGTTAGTGGTGGACAGAAGGACTGTTAGTGGACAGACAGAAGGACTGCTAGTGGTGGACAGACAGAAGGACT